CACAACGTTGCTGAGATATTTGCAAAACTCTGGACCGCAGGTGTCTGTGGTGGGGAACGAACGCGCTATTATCCTTTCCGAGGTGTAACGCGTTCACCACCACACCATGCGGGTCCTTTGTTTCGCACGTCTCTCGGCTATTTCTGTCGATCTTTTTGCCACAACAATCACCCNATCGGCATAGAACCCAGTTAAGCTATGGCTGTAGTTGAAATCACAATGTTTTAACGTTTTGTTTTCTGCCCTCTATAATTTTCATGGCAGGTTACTAAGCGATATACAACCACAACGTTGCTGAGATATTTGCAAAACTCTGGACCGCAGGTGTCTATGGTGGGGAACGAACGCGCTATTATCCTTTCCGGGGAGTAACGCGTTCACCACCACACCATGCGGGTCCTTTGTTTCGCACGCACGTTTCGCACATATTTTAACGTTTTGTTTTTTTTTTTTCTGCAGCTCTACACCGTTACCTTGTAAAGGCGGGGCACTAAATGTTTTAAATTCAAGCTTATTTTCACTGGAGAAAATCTCCAGCTGAAGTCGTCTACACAAAGTCAGTTCTTAAGTTCTTAAGCAGTCCCTCCAAAAATCCGTGCTTTTCCACAAGGTGTTCACGTCCTTGATCCAGTAGTTATTGTGGGTTTGGATACGTTGCGAGGTTACTGGAGACGGTGCCAATCAATAAGTGCGGGTCATTGCTAAACTAGTGAAGTGATTTTCTGCCTGGCAAACAGATTTTCTAAGTTTCCATTGATCCTTCTTCTAAGTGGTTGTACCGCGACAAAGCTTCGAAACTAATTCCGAAGCGAATACTGCACCGAAAGAATTATTTGCTGACCGTTTGCTGGTCTACGGCTGGTTCAATCAATCACAGCATTCTTGTTCCGGATGAACAATTTCGCGGGAAAAGTATGTCTGGAGTGGTCAACAGAAAGCACCAATTCTTAGTCACATTAAAATGCGGCATTGTGCCGTACAACAGACCTGGAGCGGCTTGACTGCGAAACTCCAGTTCACCCAACCTCTTCACGAAAAGTGTAATCTACCGACCACAACTTCTTCAAACATCATTAAACCTTCTTGTGTGAGAAATGTTCCTGAGATCAGAAACTGCCGTGTTGAATTTGTGTTTTAAAATTTGTTGAATATGAAAATGTTGACCACCAGTATCAACAGTCGTCTCGTCCTCCGCAAAGCAGCACTGCCGAGTGAGGCTACTTCGTTCGAACAGTGCTTTTCTGGATTACACTTAAAGAGATCACGAAGACCCACATCGTAAGAAGGAATAATTGTGAGCAATCGACTCGCACCAAATTGCTCTGAATAACGCGAGAAGGCGAAATATTAGCTGAATAAAGCTTTTTATTAACCTCGGGTTAGCTTCTGAAGAGAATGAACATTTATTATCTGCATTTCTCAAGATAGACTTTCTATAAGCCTCGGCATTGATAAATAACTTGCTGCTTTCCTGATTAGCACACACGAAGCTGTTATTATATGTCGTTCATTCACAACAGCAGAAGTTTGTATAAAGGAACACCTAAACGGTGAGCGTACAGCAGAAGAAAGTACTCCACTTAGGAGCATATGGGACACATATACATAACGCGCAAGATATTGAAGTGGAACTCATCATCCTCGCTCAGGGATCTGAAAGGTCAGCGCGAAGAATATTCTGGTTTCGTGCCTTCTCTGTTGAAGGCAAACAGGTATTTGGCTGGGCAGATTTCGGTCAACTAGACCTTTTTAGGTTCTAAGAAAGACGAAATGCTCGTGAACGTCAGTTTTGTGAGTAAATAACGTAACATCATCCTCATAATCATATCTCATAATCGAGATAAAAGCTCCACTCAAAGGAAGTCGCACAGGTGCATCGGTTCACTTGTTCTAAACTTCTACGCGTTATTTTCAATGATAAACGAAATATGTATGGTTTATTGCGAGCGTGTAAGTGGATTTCGAACTCTTTAAAGCAACTTTCAGGAGTGCTGATCTTCAACAACTCTCTGAGGTGCTTTCGAAAACTCTTCGACATTTCGAGGGAAAACAGGCGACTAAGCCTTCCATTTCGGGAACAGTATGGTCAAATACGAGAATCCATTTCACGACCATTTCTTCGTTTTCTACATATTCTTCGGCTCTATTCTTTTGGTGTTGAATTTGCAAACGATGCTGGTAAGATTATGCGCAATGTTATCCTAATTTTTGAGGCCTTCTAGAAAGATATAATGAATGATCACAGCAGTCTATTCCACTCTATTTGTAAAGCACGGCAAAATCTTCCAATTCAATCACCACGAATACTTTGTGGGATGTTTCACAGTGTATTTTGTAATCTCCAGGTTATTCGACGATCCAAATGTCTGTGGGCCCTCTCCGCTTATCGTCTCATCTTCTTTAGTTCCGCTGCTGATGCTGTGAATTGTGGAGCTCAAGTCGCTGCAGTGGCCATCACTTTCCGCACTCCTGTTATTCATCCAACTTTAAGTTCGGTAGGAGTTTACGGTTGCCTTCTTCATAGCGATTTCTTCTGTGTTAGAGCCCGTTGCAATTATTTGGGGGCGTTCGTTTTTGTTCAACGCTTTGATGGTCATATTTATTAGTGAAAGCGCTGGCTTGAACGAGATCCCACACATGACTGCTCTAAGAAAATGTAAAATATAGTTGTAGAGAGAAACGATGATCGAAGAAATCATGATATGCTTTCATTTCGATTTTCTGCCTTTTCACCGTAGTTTCCACTAAGGATATCGATAAGAAGAATATAAAACGAGTATTTAAAATTATAACTCTCAAATCCTTTCTGTTTTTCTCAAACAGTGTTTAGTTTTTGGGCGCACTCTTTATAACGTCTTATGCTATGAGGTGTCCGACTGTTTTCTTTCTTGCCTTCAATCGGTTCATCGCAGTGGTTTTCCCAAAAAAGATGGATCTTATGTTTGACAAAAAGAAGACAATGGTATGATGCTTCGCTAACTACCAAGTCAAACGTATTTTATTTCCTTAGCGTTAAAGAAAGGACTTTCAGATAATTTTAATTTTGTGCTTCCTTTTTGGTGCTTTCAATGGCGCTCTCTGCCTTTCTGGAGAAATTCGATCGATATGGGACCCATATATTCCAAAATTCTATTTCACAAGTGGGTTCTATTATACAGTTGCTGGGCGGTGGTAGGACAAATAGTTCGTATGAAGTTCAAGAACTTGTAGGGGACTCTAGCCCAAAGCTTTACCACATTCATCTTCTATTTCCTTCTCGTTCACTTAATTAGGTGGTATGCTTCCGTAGGTCGTACCAATACTCGGTTTGTCGAACTCTTTGGAATCTGCATGAAAGTCAGCATTCGATGGAGAACACTTAAATCTGTAGTGAACATTCCGTCATCTCGAGCCTCTTGCAGACGAATCGTCTTTTACTGCCGAGTTTTTGCGCGCTATGACCTTATACTACGGCGAATTTGTGTATGTTACAAGTTTCACCATCTACCTTACCATCGTCGTCTTTCTGCTGTGCAACGTATGTGAATGCCTCTTGTTCTCACTCAGTGATTTTTAAGCCAGTTGTTTCATATTGCTCTTTGAAAAATGCCACGTTTTATTAATGTATGTTTTTAGAGACAACTCATCAGATCTGTTCGCGTCGAGCTTCCGCTCCTGTATCACTCTTTCCAGATATTTACGCTGTCGGGAATCTTGCTTTACGTATGGTCCTACCCCGTTTCTGATTCCGCCCTTTACAATCATATCGTTAATGTTTTCGTCATTTCCCACTATGGTGTAACAACCATTTCACTTGTAATGACAAACAGGTATAGTACAGCTCCATACTTATGGCTACATTTTTTAGTCCCAGTATTCAAGTATTTAGTTCCCTTGATGGCTCTTCTTCACGAAGAATTACGCAAACCACAAACCTATCTGATAAGTAATTTGCTCACCAGGCAAAATTTCCTTTCCTGGAGACTCGAGAGTGGCTCTAGGGCTTTCTTTCGATGTCACCACCTGGCTTCGCGCGACCACGCTTCTGCCAATATGGCACTGGCAGCTGCAACGTACCACTAAATTTGACGAATGCTGCTCATGTGAGCGATAATTTGCTGGCCACGCGGAATTCTGGGAGCAACCCTGCTCTACAGGTCGCATCATAATCTAAACAGAATAAAGAGAAGTGTGTCGAAAGCACTACTAACCCCTGCAGCAATTTTAATGTGAAATGAAAAACAGCAGCGTCGTAGAGGTCGGAAGGTACGGAATACAGAGAAAAAGAAACGAACGTTTAGACCATCTCAAATAATAAAGCAAAAGAGCAGCCTATGAAGTAAAGAAACAAGAGGCATGAGAACAGCTTCCTTCAAAGCATCAGCAACAGCACAATTTCATGCCGATAAAGGTACAACGTCTTATTCGCTGGTATTAAGTGTCCAACGAAATGAACATCTAAAGCATGGCATCAGTAGACCAACCGCTTGTTCAAAAACTCAGGGACAGTAAACAAAAGAACCTAAACCTGACCCAAAAGTTTAGCGCGTTGCCCTAGAAGAGGGTGATGCGTGTGTAGCTCAAGTAAATCACCTTAGCATTGCGAGAAACGAAATGCGAAATCGTACTCCCAGCTTTCGTTACGCAGTTGAAATACTACTACAGTAGATGTTTTTCCTGACAGATGAAATAGATAGTAAACGTTCTTGTAAATTCGATTTATCGAACAAGTTCTTCTCAATGAACTCCCCGAATTTCCGTATTTATTGTTCCGGTAGTGTAAGGCAGACAATGTTGCTGTGGAATGGATTCGATGAAGTCACTGCTACATTTCCACTTTCAAGTTCCGACATAGGCCTCTTATGTGAGGTCCTATGCACTATATCTTTGCGAGTTATTGTGTCCTTAAAACTAATTCCCACAATTTTTGATTGATGTTTTAGAGGAAGTTTCAAATATTCATCACACCGTTTGCAGTTATTTCGCTATTAACTCTTTCCGCATAGAATTTCCATCGTCTGCATGCAATCTACACCTCGTGCACATTGTTTGCATTCCTAGCAGTCCTTACTGTCTTCACAAACCTGTTTCCATATTGCTGCCATTCGGTCGAAGCATGCTTACCACGTTCTGTAGCAAATATGGGGCCGTAACTAACTAGATCGGGAAATCAAAATCAGTATGATGCACGACCTAGCTCCAGAGCTGGGCAGAAGAAAACGAAGGGCTCGGAGAGCTTTCAAGAGCATCGAGGATGTAGTGAAAAAACAAAGAACACCCGACACTGTGCCCACCTTTTCGACTCAATGGTAGTTCCTGCTCTAACCAATGCGTCAGACACCTGGTCGCTGCGTAAGCAGGATGATAGTTCACCCAGCGTTATCGAACGTGTAGACGAAAGGACGTTCCTAGGAGTATCCCGTTCCAGACAAGTAAAAAATGGGATCCGAAGCTCCGATCTGCGTCAACGATCAAAAATCAAAAGCGCCGTTCTGTACGCCAAACAGTCGAAGATAAGGTTTGCTAGACCCGTAATGCGTATGATGACAACTGATGGACAGGAGTCCTTAGTAACTGAATCCTTCAGGATGTTAAACACGCTGCAGGAGCACCACCTAATCGTTCGTCATCGAGTCACTCGACGATCAACGGATCTACAGGAGAAACAGGTGATTGTTTCTATTAATTGAGCAATCGCAACACATCCTTTGTGGGAGCTAGGGCATGTTGACAAAACGACGCGAAGAGTTCTCGACCTCTTGACGTCTCGTTGAAAATATGCCAGCAATGAAAGCTGTCACGACCGTCACAGCTTCATCGTTCATATGTACTTTCACTTCCTCACAAATATAACACATAGAACACAACGGTAGCTGACGTTTCGGCAGTATCGCCTTCACCAGAGCCTGGAAAGGTACACAAACATGTAATTCACTAGGGAAAATGCTTTAACTACGCAAACAAAAAGATGAAATTCTTAACAATAATTACACGATCACCGGCCATCATTGAAGTTATACTTCACAATTTACCCAGCTACTAAAAAGAATACGCTGTAAAGAAACGGTTAAGATTTTGTTTATAACTAAAGCCTCAGCTTAACTGGGTTAATTACTGAATTGGGCTCCCCAGATCAATCCCGTTGACTGGTGATTGCTGGTGGCAAGTGATCGATGGAACCAGCTGAGAAACGGGGTAAACGAAGTACGTGCATGGTGTGGCGCGGAACGCGTTAGCCCCTGAAAGGGTAGCAGAGTGTTCGCTGCTCACCGCAGATACCTGCTGCCCTGTGTTTTGCAAATATCGCAAACGTCATCTTGGTTCTGCCTTTCTTAAAAAAACAGAGCAAAATAAAGATCTGTTCGACGTCATCGTTGCCCATTCATCTATAGCTGCCATGTCTAGCCCCATCTCCTGTTGACTACTGTAATCACAGAGTTGTACTTCAGTTAACTTCTGTCAAGTTAACACATATAAACGTCAAGCAGCGACGGCTGTTTATCATTATGGTGCTATGACACAACTACACGACGTAGCACTTTGTTCTTGAAAACACGATATCCAGCGATTGAATTAAATGTTGTTGACGGAAAATTTCATTAAGGCACAATCATTCTTCCTCTCAAGCTCTCAACTCTGGTATAGACGAAATATCTGCGGTATACTCTGGTATATTCTTGATAAATAATTTATCATTGAAGAAAACCTGAAGTACATATGAACGATGAAACTGTGACAGCTTCCATTGGTAGTACACTTTCAACGAGACTTCGAGAGGTTAAGAACTCTGCGCGTCGTTCTCAACGTGCCTCAGCTTCCACTAAGCACGTAGACGGTTTTGTTTTCAAAATGCTCAACACTCCACAGTGTACCAAGAAGAACGTCTAAAGAACTTCACATTGGTACCTATGGATTGGAATTGAACGCACAGGGTGAGCGGCTTTCCGAGTTTATCATGACGGCCAAGAACATCCAAGGTAGGTCGCAGTTCCAGATCCACCACCCTCAACGCTGGGCGTGGGAGTCTCAAAGTGCAGAGTACCACAACGAAACAAACCACATCAAATAGTAAATAGAAGGTTTTGCCTTGCCGATGTAGCTGTTGTTCCAAAATTCTTCACAGAAACCGGACCATCACCTTTTTACATTTTTCGGGCAAAATTCAATTTTTCACGGAAAGGAGAAAAAACCGCTAAATTCAAAAAACGAAGTCCCAAAACCACCATAAACTGGAACTTATTTTCAATTTGCTAGTCGGTTGTTGGAACGATGCCGTTCTCGAGTAGAACACGACCGGCTCATTCAACATCTTCACATTAGTGCTATGAAAGCTGAGATTTCAAAAGTCACCAAGAGAAGTCTGTCTCCTGAAATACTCGAGCTGATACGCATTAGCTGAAGAACTGACCTCCGAACTTGGAAAATAATGCAGACAAGCGATAAAGGAACATTTTGAAGAGAAAAGGGCAGTACTTTTGGTCGAAACTCCAAAAGATGTGAAAACCATTCGAAACGCCACCGAAACTTTCCCAATTAGAAGACCAAGATGATTGCACCCAGACGGAACAGTTACAGCGTCCAAAAAGGCAATGGGTAATATTATTCACGAATACTGATATCTCTTCGATTGACACGTACACCTTCCGTCATATGAAATAAAAGAGGATGGATATGTTGTGCCAACGGTTCTCCTTTCCGAAATCCGACACGCCATTTCGTCGGTGAGAAATCGAACAGCACTAGGTCTGGACAATATAAGACCAGAAAATCTGAAGAACCTCCCGCACGTCCACGTGAGCACACTGGCTCGGCTCTACACACGTTACAATTGACACATGCAGGTGATGCGAAGGATCTAGAAA